TAAAGAGGAAAGAATAATAAACTTAACAATAATCATATATAATTTAATTCAAAGAACAAAACACAACCAAATCTTACTCGAAACAGTATTCTTTATCGAGAGACCTTAATCTTTCTCCATCCAAAAAAATATCTTTAATCCAAAATCTTCGACAAAGTCTTCTAGCTAAATAAAGCAAGCCATACAAAACAAAATTTGTAAACACGTGGATAATGGCAGTGTCGGTATCGTTCGCCATCTTGAATACTGAACGCATGCGCCGAAATGTAAGCGGATTGCTGCTTGTGTGGTTTTGCTGATGCCCGGCTAAGATGAGTTTTCGACACCGCTTTTCCTTGCCGTGCCGCATGTGTGCATCCTCCTTTAACAAGTAAAGCCTAGTTCACACTGAGCGCGATTCGCTGGCGAAAGCGAAAAACAGCGCGAATAACGTGACGTCGTTTCCGGCAAATTTTACCATTTCGCGAATCGCTTCGAAATTCGGAACTGTCGAACGTTTTCGCTAGCCAAAAAATTTCGCCATCAACAATATTCCCGTTAGTCACGTTATGTCACGTGGTTCTTGTTGTTTTCAAGCCGGTTACAGAAACTTTTTCACACAACAGAGTAAATGTTGTAATTACCGATTTTTAATATTCCTCTCACCCAGCATCGTTTTCTTTTTGACGTATCTTTCTTTCTCAATAAATAAACAAACGTGGTTAATGACGGAATATCGGAGGCGGCCATTTTGTTTTTCGAGATAACTTTTTCTCTCGCTTGCAAATAATTGGCTCCTTAAAATTCGCAATCGCTTTTCTCATTCGTTTTCGCTATTCGCACAGTGTAAACTAAGCTTAAGGAATGTAATTGGCTATGTAGGGCGGAGCGAAGAAGTTTTCTGAATATCCTTGAACGGTGTGCTGAGTTCAAGTTAGATTAATGGATGTAAAAATGGCAGATGACAAGAATAATCATTACAGGTATTGGTGCGATGAGATTTCGCACCAATACCACGCAAATAATATAATACCAAGAGTATTATATTATTTGCGAAAGTGTTATATTAATTATATTATTTTAGTGCGATTTTTGTGACTGCACACTGTTTACCAACTGCTGAATTCTTTGTTTAGTGCTACTCAAAGCAAATGCATGTCGGCACTGGCATCCAACTGATTTTGATGTTTATTTTTAATTATCAAAAGCACTGAGAATCCTTGCTCGCATAAATATGTGGTTGAAAATAAAGTTAGGTACTGTAAAGCAATTTCTCGAATTTTAGGGAAAGCAATAGCTTTTTGGCTCCAAAAATCTTTAAGATTAATTCCTGTCTCGAATGTATCCTTGAAGTTACTATCATGTTGCATTTCAATTAACTCTTCTTGTATTTCATCCGGCACCCCAGAAATGTTGACTATGAACGGATTGCAAATCAGTTTCCGAATACAGTGCCTTTATCCTTGCAGTCAGGAAAATAGCGATTGAATTTATTTTTCAAGCTTTGCAAATGGAATGGAATGTTCTTTTGTATTTGTCCTTTAATCTCGGCACACTGTCAACCAATAATTGGGTTCAATGTATCAAACGCAGAAAAATTCTCTCTTTCGGCTTTGCTGATCTATAGGTCAATTTTAGCGATAAACGCACTGATTTTATCTTCAAATGCAAATTTATTGCTAGTTCCTTCCAATTTCATATTTTCTGACCGCGCACCATACCCCAGCCCAGTCCACTATAGGCTCTAACCTTGACGTACTGCGCATTGTCATCAACTCGTCGTCATTTATTTAATAATTTTGGGATAACTTTGCGGACCACTTCGGATGCTTTTAAGGACCACCAGTGGTCCACGGACCACAGGTTAAGAACCATAGATTTAAAGAGATCGTTCTTTCCTCCCGCTCAATTGGCACTTGCTGTCCTTGGGTAGTGATTTAAAATGCTGTAGGTGCAGATGCTTTCGTGACAACTATAAGATTTTTTCTTCTACAAAATAAATTTGCATTTTCAACCGAAATGCGAAAGCCAAACAAAAAAAAAAAAAAATATTCTTCTAAGTATAGCAATTTGCAAACTAATAATCATGTATTGTTTTAAATCAGTAGTGCCCAGACTTCTGCCTTCGGCCTAATCCATCCACTCATACTAGCCCCTAGCAACATAACATTTTGTATACACCTCCACACCTTGGTCAATTGTCGCGCGAAGCATTTCGGTGGGATTGTAACGATTTTCTGCATATTCACAAACTCATTGTAACGGTAACCTGCATATCTGCGTTACTAATTTATGAACAGTGCTACGTAGAATATACAGTATGTATTTCATTGTATGTATTACAGAATGTGGCATAACTATTTTATATAATACTTACTATGAACATTATTTATTTAATTTTTCATTAAAGCCTGTTTACTTATTAAATTATGAAAATGTTGAATTGATGGAATAACGCAATGAAACATGGGAAATCTACTCGGGGAATGGCTCCTCCCGAAAGAACTTAGCCTACTATAGGAAACTGGTTCCTATTTAGGTATTACAGTAGGTCGCGCGAACCGACGACCATTATTCAAGATTTTTGTTCTAAATGTAAGCCTTTTGAGTAAAGATTTATGTTGGATTTTTCGTACTAAATGTAAAAGTTTCTATTTTAAAGATGTAAAATATAGTTTAATATTAAATAATGGTTTTTAAGTAAATTTTATCGTCCTTGATTTTCTAAAGGGTAGTATGGTGTGCAAAAGAGTAAAATGTCTAATAGCGATTGGATAATACGATTATTTTACAATATTATCCAATACAAAGTTATCTAGAGTAGAGGAGTAGGTGTGTATGTGCAGTAGCGTAAGTAGAAAAGGGCTCAGGGAATTCGCAAATGATCTAATTTTACGAAAAAGTCTTTAGCCTGTAGCCTACTGAATATGAAATTTATTAGCTTACAGAGATCGCAACTTTATATATATAAGACGAAGGGCCAATTTTTCAGCCTTTTTCGGAACAAAATTTGCATCTTATATGCCGGAAGATATGGTACTATGGAAATTTTTTATTATTGATATATTCAAAATAAAGGAGTACAACAAAAGATTACATAAGACATCAGTTATGTCGTATTTATTTAAACTTTTTGATACTTTATAAGTCCAACAAAAGCCTCTACGACTATCTTCAGTCTCAATAGCATTAAAGAGACGAGTTTCTCAGTGATTTCAGGAAGAATTATTTTTCCATCCTTTTTTTAAGGCTTCTTTTAGTCTTTTTTTTTTTTTTGCTAAAAATGCTTCGTTTACGTGCATTCTTCTTTTCGTTTCATCCGAAAGATAATTATATTGTGGTCTAGAAAATGTAGTAGTGAATGGATGTCTTTTTACACTAAGCAGCAACTATTATTTTGCAATATAAGAAGTATGCTTCTATTATTATCCTGTTGGAATATGTAGTCAGAAGATAAGCTTAATTTTTAAGCAAATGACAAAAAATTTGTTTTTAATCTATCCAGATATAAATATCTATGTATAATCCCATGGATAAATGTACTTTTCCAACTCCATTTGTCACCCAGACTATAACTGAAAATGATCCATTGATAGTCGGTAATACAAGGCTTCGTTTTCATCTCCTCGTTGGGTTTAAGCCATAGTATTATACGTGAAATTTATATTCATATGTAAAAATAACCTTCCAAAATTACGAATCTTGTTCATGTATTTTTCAATACTTTTCTGATATTCTTTTTTGTTTATTCACATCACTAATAAACTTTTTTTCCCTTGTACAGTATATTCTGGCATGCAATACAGACTTCCGACGAATCGTTTCGGAATGCACTTCAATATGGCATGTATTTTTTGAATTTAGTGCGAGATTTTTTTAGATAGATCCGTTTAGATCGCTTTTTATCTAAAATTTTTTAATACGGTTTGTACCATGAACTTTGAAGGTACTGTACTTTCTTTATTTGTTATAGTGATTTCTTCACTTTTCTCAACTGTATAAATAACTTTTCGTACTTGTAAAGATACATTATTTTGGTGTTCATATTGCTTCTTCCAAATTCAAGTGTCAAAATACACAATAAATAATTATATTGTGATATATATATTTGTGACGTTATCATTTGTATAACCGAGAGAGTGTGTACGTAGAATTTTGTTGTAACCACTTCGTACTAAATTTATACTAATTATTGAAAAATCCTGTTATTTAGTTGCTTACAATTTAAAATACATTTTAAAATATTATGTGTATTTTTTTTAAAAAAAAGCAATTTGATATTTATTTTTGCACATTTTCTTATTTCCTTTGCCCGTATGTAGATTTTTGTGACAATTCGGACTTCCCCAATGTCAATTAGGAGGGAACCTGAATTACAACGTGCAAAGTCTATACTTAGCAAACATATTTATACAAATATAATTTCGTTTTAATTTTTGTATTCAGAGTGGCACAAGCTTCTTCCTGAGGAGGCAAGCCATGCATATATTTAATCAATGGCGGATCCAGTAATCTTTAGAGGGGTGCAGAATGTAAACAATATACCTTATAAAATTTTCTACTACTTAAATACCCATCTTGGCTCGGGAAAAATTCTTAAAAGGGGGTTAGCTCTCCCTGGTGCATCCCTAAATCCGCTGTTGTATTTAATAACTATAATTTTTATAGTTTGACCTTTTTCCGACTGTTTAATTGTAAAATTATAAACAAAATAGTGATAAACATTTTTAAAAAATGAGCTTTAATAGCTACAAATTTTTATTAAACATAACTATAAGAATGCGTCAGAATAAAGATGACATTTCGAATTTTAAATTAATGTAAAAATTCAATAAAATTCAACGTCATAAATAAAATTATATACAGTTTTTTATTACCTTAGCGAAATTACTTCCTTTACTTTTGCTGTAATTTTCCCTAAAGTATATAAATTTATGTAATAATTACGACGTTTAATGTATCGGTGCTGCGTGTAAATATTTTTCCTCCTATATAAAACAACAGAATATACATACATAGTGAGGTTTATCTTTCGTCAAAAATCTATATGATAGTTCATTCATAAGTGGAACTACTTATCTTACAAGTGAATCTATTATTGGTTAATTTAACGGGGAATATTGTACTAGAAGTTGTCCTACTACTAATAAGTATGTAAGGCACATATTTTCCTGGAAACCTTGATTATTATCTACAGTCACGGACTGCTTACGTCTTTAGAGATAGTTCGCCATTTTGCCAAGAAAAAGTGTTGCTTTCTGACAAATCGAGTGGATGAAATCGAAAGTAATCAATTGTCATGTAACTAGGAACATGGTAGGAAGGTAAGATTATTTTTTCATGCATTATTTAATCATCATTTATATATATTTTTCGCCTAACGAAAGCGCTACGTACAGTACAAGTTAAGCTTTAAATGTGGAAACGTGTGTAGATTTAAGCCGTCGAGTTTGATGTTAAAGATTGTTGTAAATACTTTTTAATACAAATGTAATGAATCTAATGGATAATTTATATGATTTATAAAAGTGTTATATCTCAATGGTTTTATTATGGGAGGTGACTCAAGTGTTATCGTCGAGCGATTGTATGGGGCCTTGGAGTACAGATGAAACCTTTTACTTTTTTTCGAACAAATCATGTACTGTACTGTACGTAGGACGTTTATATATAAAAACAGTCTTTAAATGATTTTTTTTAGTAAAAATAACATTAATTTATAGGGATAGGAACCACTAAGGTATCATCAAGTTTTTCTCCTAACTTGGGAAAAATCCCTGTGAGGAAAAACTTTGAGAGAGGGAACTCGAGGAAAAATCTCCAGCCCTTCTCGTCGGCTCTAGATATAGAAGTTATATTATTGATAATATATCGTCAAAAATCGTAATGTCGTTAATAAACATACAATACTTTAGTTCTGGAGTGAAGTGTCATTTTATGTGTAACCACCCCCCATCTTAATCCCAACTGTTCTATCAGTTTATTGCCTTTTTTATCCAGAATGAACTGTATATTGATGGTATATTTATGAATAATTTCTATAGTATTAATATAGATCACCATTATTGCCGTAAGCAACAACACGAAAAGTTAAAATATCATATTTATTTGTTTATTAGTACTAATGATATTTATCAATTTCATAAGAAAGATATCCGGTGATAAAAATATATTCTTGTATCCATTTTTATGTAAATTTAATGTGGAAAACGTGAAATAATTTTTATTTAAGGAAATTCGAATAATTATACGCCTCCGTTTCTAGTGATAGTGAGGAGATAATAAATTACCTCCTACCGTTTCAAATGTAAATATTATAACAATAATTTTTGTTTAGCATTTTAAAAAAATATACATGGATGAATTTACGTCATAATGACGTAATATCCTGTACTTCTCTTTTTATGAATTAATTTATTTGTTTTATTTAGAGAAACGTGATGTTTGAAGTTGAAGATCAGAAGCTGAAATGTGTTTGGCATTTAATTTGGCTTTATGTAGTGATAGGATTTGTTGGTAAGTGATTTTATTTATTTATTTTATTAATTCATAATCCCATATTTCCACGACAAAGTTTCTTAAAACTTTATTAATGAGAGATTGAGAAACATTTCCCTCCGTTCTTCGAATAGAGGAGGATAAACTGAAGGACGACAGGAATCATCTGCCCACAAGACTAGTAAATCTCGTTGTTATTCATATAGTGTAAGGTGGTGGGGTTTAGAAATATCTGAGGAATGTGAACTTTGAACCTCCATCTAAATATATTCAATAAAATGACAAGTGTCTTAGAACTTTTTTGGAGTTAATCTTTAAATTTTGTATAAGAAATAGTATAGAATCCCCATTAGCAGATTAATTCTAAACACCTGTTAATTTTGGGATGCCTTAAATTTTTCGTTGGTATTTATTTATAAGTATTTGTAGATTTTAAAGCTTTAAGATAGTGATTTTTGCTGCTCATTAGATAATCCTTTATTGTACATACCCATTCAGATTGTAAGTGATAAGATTCAAATCTGATCAGAATACATATTTATATTCGATAATTTCAATTGGAATATTGTTTCACATCACTCCTTATAAAAGGATAGAATATATAAAGGATATATAGGTCTATATATTTAAATCCAATATATATATATATATAGGCCTATATATATTCTTTTTTCTAGTCTTTCTCGTAAAATCGCTCATTAAATATTGGTATTTCACATTATCAAGCTAAACGATTATTAAAATTATTATCTTTCAAAATTTATTTACTAATTTCTCTTCCAAGACAACCTTGAAGTTATTATTATTTGATTGCGACGTTCTGCAATTTATAGTGAAATTTTAATTAAAATAATTAAATTATCATTAAAATAAAAATTGATTGAACAAAATAATAATAATATTTTAATTTTTATTGATTACAGTAACGAGAGGATACTTGGAACTTTTGTGTTAAAGTTATATCCTTAATGATCTTTAGTTTACTAATAATTACGAAAAATAAAGATAACTCTTTGATTTAATAATATTGATAAGAAAATTGATTTATTATTGAACAAAAATGCATACAGTATTTTAAAAATGTAACCAAGGGCGTCCGTAGAGGGGACCAGGAATAAATCTTAGGAGGAACAATTACCCGTTTGAAAGTTGCTATCTCCTTTTATTTTTCTTTATCTTTTGCTTTTGTAAAAGTAGATTATTTTACATAGATATTACACTGAAATAAGTACAGTCTGAATGCAATGAGATGGACCTTAGTTCTTAAACTCTGTACAGGAGCTGTACAGTACTTTAATACTCGATTGCTTCTTGTTCCCTCTATTGGAAAGTCTTTGGAAGTAAGCATAGAATCGCTGTGGAGAACTTATTAGACAGGACACAGTTAATCGATTTATATATTCCTTCCTCTTTATATAATAAAGTCTACATAACCATCGACTGTGTCCTTCTATGATAATTTCTCCATAGCAATTCTATGCTTACTTCCAAGGAGCTGTGTTGTATCCAGGTTTTTAGGGAAGTTGAAAGTTTTTACTTGTTTTTTTTTTATAGTGTTTATTATTCACTTTCATGAAGATAGACGAAGGTAGTATCTATAGAAACAATCTGTTTAGCGAATCAATTAGTTGGTTAGTTGATCTAAATCGTATACGTTTATGTTCCTCCTGATGTAAAATCCTGCGAGCATCCCTGGTGTAATACAGATTTATAAAAGAGATAATTTCAAAAGTGGGAAAATATTAGACAACATTGAAAAATATTAAGCCAAGAAGGTTTAATATATCATCTATAGGTCTCATATATTTATCACAAAGGTGTAGCACAGAGGTTCGTTCTTCACTTGTTTACTTTATTTTCATATCTTGTTTTTATATTTAATTATCTCCCTTCACGGATTAAAGGCTCATATGGTAAAAAATAAATTTTAATGACTCTTTACAAAACTCTAAACAGTATTCTCTGTATTACAATTTCGAAATAACATAATTTTTTAAATGAAAATTATCCATTTTGCCTGACATAATTTTTATACTTTGTTCTGTTAAAGTTACAAAATAGAAGCCATTATGAAATTTTCAGTAAAAACGTTAATTAAATAAACTAAAAATTTAAATAAAAATATTTGAAGGACACTATTTGCATTTTAAAATAACAATAAAAGGTCAAAGGTGAAGGTTATAGAGTATACTTAAGTAAATTAATGAATTTAAACAGAAAAATCATGCGTGTTTAATGGGAATTTATAAAGATAAAGTTTGACTAGTTACATTATATTTACCAATGTTTTGTGCAATAATAATTAATTTGAAATATTCATGAACCATACCACGTTCTTGAAAATTTTATTAATAAAACTTGAAAGAACCTGGTTGCTTGCTTGCTTTAACTTATTATTTATAGCTGAATTAAATTATTTATTCGAAAAATAAATTTTGTGGCGAGGAATATATTTAGAACTTATTAAATAATATTTCATTCCTTTATATTTTAAGCTCAAATAAATGCTCAAGGTGAACAATGCACAACGAGTGATGGAAGACCAGGATTGTGTGTGGTACTGAAATTTTGTCGAGAAGCAATTGCTAGTTTTCCACATCAATTACCAACTGTATGCTACCAGAAAGGATCTATTCCATTTGCATGCTGTGCTTTTCCTGACATTCAAGAAAATGATCAAACGCTCATTTATAGCTCAACTACTCACGGCAGACCTGGCTCAGATAGTAGATATTTGCCAGTACCTGAAGCCAGACCTGTTAGACCTTCGACTGTAACTAGTGATTACAGAACATCTAGAACGAATACACGCTTCAGAACTACAGAAACACCCACCAGGAATAGAGATCAAACTGAAGATAATGATAGATTTAAACCTTCTACAACTTTTCGAGTGACAGAAGAACCTTTTATCGAATCCTCCAGGAGTAGTAATCGTTACCCAATTAGGCAGAGTGATGCAAGTACAGACTCGTATTCAACCACAGTGTTTCAACAAACTAGGACAGATTATAATAATAAACCAACTAGAACGACTCGATATCGTGACGATGCTTCAACGACAGTAAGCAGACAAACTCCGAGGCAAAGCAGAGTGGACAAGAGTTATAGAACTGAACAATCGGAGTATACAAGGAGTAGTAAGAATACAGAAGATTATTTCTCCGGAAACAAGCGAGAACAAAGTCAGAACACAAGAAACATTCAAAATATACGGCCTTCTCGAACGATTCGTGATGATGATTATAATATAAACTTTACACCAACTACGTCCACTAGGAATTACCCAACTGTAGAAACTCACGTTGTAACTAGAGAAATCACTACTAAGTATTACGCGACGAAACCAAGAACAACACAGAATGATTTTGCAAATACTAATTTAAGGCCTTCGAGGACTACAATAGTTGATCATCCAATAGTGGAACCATCTGTTGAAATCTACAAGACTTTCATAACGAATTTTACAGTAAGAAATTCTGATTCAAACACGCGATTAAATCAGCCATCCAGAGTAGTTCCTCACGTAGAAATATCCAAAACGGAAATCAGATACTTTAATACGCCCACCAGAACTCAAATTTCAGAACCTCAAATAACAGAACAAGGTAAATTTACTGGTGTAAAAAATGATACTTATGATTTTTCAACATTATTAATTAATGTTCATTTTTTTAGAATGTGGAGAACCAGTTTTAAATATGTTTATTTCGGGAGGATATGAATCCAGACCGGGGGATCGACCTTGGATGGTATGAATAATATAAATTTTTCTATATGTTTTTTTAAACTTTAAATTAATAACATTTTGTGTTTCCTACGTAGGTAGCCATCTACAGGAGATCACTTCCAGGACGTCCAAATAAATTTATATGTGGTGGAGTTCTTTTAAATCGTCGTCACATATTGAGTGCAGCTCATTGTTTCGTTTGGGGTAACACAACCTTGTACGTAAATACATAACTTAATTTATTCATAATCGTGTCCTATTTCTTGTTAAGCAAGTAACACCCAAAGTACAGTCTTCTGCATAATTTTTACATTTAATTAAAAATCAGGACTAAGAGAACGATATCCTTGAGTTATCGTGTACTTCCTAAACATGCTGAATGTTCTAGAAAATTAAATGTTTAAGTATAATCTATGACTATTGATTTTGACCACAAAAATCTACATTATAGAGAGAAATTTCTTTTGGCCATTCTCTACCAAATCATGTGGTATTCTCTATCTAAAAGGTTGCACATGATGGATAATAATCATCCCAAATCTACTTTCGGTTCAGTCCCCAAATATTATCCTCTTATTCAAGTTTAAGTCTTCCTTTTCTCCTCCCTCCTTTTAATTTGCCATGAAAGTCCAATCTTATTAAATTTTCCGAAGACCCTTTCTAGATTAAATACATAATATAAAACAATATTTTCAATCAGGTTAAGGATGAATACTTTAGAAAGTAATTCATTGGGAGAACTATATTCAATTCTGTGTTTTAGTTACTTTTTCAGCCAATCGTGTTTGAGATAAACATATTTTCAACCAATTATCAATCAATTACGCTCTTCTTGGCTGAAATATGACGCAGAGGAGTAATATATATTTATAGGATTTTCAGTTTCTTTTTAGCTGCTTTTACATATTATTTTTATAGCATTACTCGTTGAAATATCTCGGGAAAATAATATATTAAGTAAAAGGTAATATACTGATATAAAGATAGACACGTATAAAAATGTACAGAAGAAAAATGAATGTGTATTTATAATAAACTTATAATAGATCGAATTAAAAACAATTTTGCATCGAAATTCACTCTAAATACATTCTATAGTCTGAGAAGGATTCGGCAGTTCTCACGTGATACTCGAAGAAACAGACAGACACATAGACGGGAATTTGAAAGTAGCCTATATCATTTCCACGACTTTCCTGAATATATGTAGAAAGTTTCGTAGAAATCGGTTCAGCCATTGTCACGTGATACTCGAACAGACAGACAACCAGACAGAAAGACAAAGTGAATTGAATTTTATATGTAGATTATTATTATCATTAAATATCATTTCACAATTTAGCATTTTCCACGTTTTCAGATCCAGTAATCATTTTTTGGCCCGTTTGGGAGCTCACGATAGAGAAAAGATGGGCAAGGATTACGAGGTGACTTCGGTGATATTACACGAGAAATACGTCTCACGTTACCACAGTTATGACGTGGCAATACTTATCACTCAATCGGACGTGCCATATAGTAAGATGGTTCAACCAGTTTGTCTTCCAGGGCCTGAAATTGCCCGCGAAAATCTAGTTGGAAAGGAAGCAACAGTCGTTGGTTGGGGAGATTCAGAATTCGGTAAGTTAGTTGATGTTATAAATAACATAAAAATAATGGAAAGTTTATTTTTCAATGTGGTTCGTTAGCCTTCATGAAATGATTACTTAGAAAAATGCTTTTACACATAACAGAAAGGGGACTCCCTGAATAAAAATAGACTTCCTTTATTTAACGAGAATTTCGAAACAAAGAAAAAAATGGAATTTTATTTAATTTATATAATAAATTAAGTTATTTTGAACCGTTTTAATTGTTAAATTAGAACAAAATGTATATTTTCATGAAAGACTTTCTCTTGAAGTCGAGTTCAAGAGAAGCTCAAATTACAACACTTGATACCGTCTTAAATTAATTCAAAAATTAGAAAAATTAAAATGTCGTTTCAGGTTCTGGTTTTTCTCAGGTATTGCACGAAGTGGCAATACCAATTGTATCGAGTAGAGACTGTTACACTGCATACGAAAGGTTACGCTCGTCGACCTTCCCACGTGGAGATATGGAACAATACATATGTGCTGGACTTCCTGATGGAGGTAAAGATGCCTGCCAGGTAAGTTTTCGACCTTCTATTATTCAAAATTTTATATTATTCACGAATTGAAAAACAAAATGCTGTAAATTTCAAAGGGGGATTCCGGAGGACCTCTACTTATCAAGCAAAACAATGGAAGATGGACTGTTATAGGAGTGGTTTCTTTTGGATTTCGATGTGCTGAGCCTGGATTTCCAGGTGTTTATTCTAGAGTTACTTATCATCTCTCGTGGATTAAGAGGATAATTGGCCAAAATTAGTCTGCAAGTCAGACTACACGCTCAAGAAATCTTGTAATTTTTTTAAACAGTTGTGTATTAAAAATAACTGATTTATTTATTTTTGAATAGAAGATTTTACTTTAATTTTGATAATTTATGGATTTAAAACTTGAATTATTTTAGTGTTAAGTTCTATGTTTGTAGATGTTTCAATTACTTTTCTGGTTATAATCATAGGTTTCTGCTATGCCAAATGAAATAAACAAGAAAACGGTAGAAAGGTTATTCTTATTTTATAATTATGAAGGAAAATTCCCTGCAGCAAAATTACATTTTGTATGGAAATTCTTGCGAAACGTTCTTCCCAATTGACTACATTTTTGATTAAGTTTACATTAAAGATCATGAAATAAAACTAAGAAAGAAAAAACACACTCATTTTAACTTCTTCAAATTAAAATTACGAAATATTTCAAATGGCGCGTGGCAATTGCATGATTTTTATGCATAAATTACAAATATTCTTAGAATATAAATTTCTCGTGAATATAGTTTTAAATATTTTAATGCTCAAACACTTTGAAATTAAATTGGAGGCTTATAATGTAGTGCTAATTATAATTATCAGGAGGAGGATTACAATTAGGGGAAGCCAGGAGTGTAGACCTAAGACCCTGTTCGGGATCTTTATAATAAAACTAATTATAAAGCGCATAATGAGAGGAAATTAAAGGGCCCTAGGCCTCTTTAATTTCCCCTCATTATGCGCTAGAATTGTAAATAGAAGATATACATAGTTATATCTTGTATTTCGAATTCCAGTGAATAATAAAATTAACCTCATTAAAATGTCTTTACGTATTAAATGGTGCGGTTTTGGAATAGGATTATTATAAATTTTAATAAATTCAAATATTTATAAATATCATTTTCAACACGAAAAATAAAAGTAGTTGTTTGGAGAATATTTAGCTTAATGACAATATAACCTTGCACTTGTGCAGTATTGCCTCAGGTGAAGCAGTCAAGGTTATAAAAGAAAACTGATGCCAAAATGTCATCTATTGACGTATTTCCGTCTTCTGCAAAGTTGATTATTAACTTGTCACTATATACATTAAATAAAAATGGAATTTGAAAAGTAGCTGGACTGTATAACTATATATTTATCATCAAATTATGCGAAGATCCTGTCGTGTTTGCTACACATAAATGAAATTGCTAACATGAAAAGAGTATTATCGTTTATTTAATGTTGCAGCATAACCACTTAAAATATACTGTAATCGTTTTCAGGGGACGTCCATAAATTACGTGTACAAATGTAAGGGGAATAAAATCACGCAAAATATATTATTGTGCGCGATGGAGGGATTGCCATTAGCTTGTTTTTAGTGATGTATGTTTAGTGGTATATTTTTAAATTCTTTTTACTAGTCACGTTGTTAAACTATTTACAAAACTTCTTTAGGTAATTTTTGAACGTCAGGGGGTCTTTGAACTATTATACACGTTATTAAAGTGGAGTCAGTTTTCCAGAAGTACATTACTGTATACACAGGGAGAGGAACGGTAATTAATGGACACTCCCTAAAGGTAACACTGAAGAATTAACTTTACAAATGAACAATTTCTGTATTTTACGGTACAATTATACAGACTGATGATTTATTTATATAAAATTTCTTTATAAGTCACTGTAAACTCAATTCGAATTTTTAAAAATATTTATATACATTAAAAATAGATTATGCTAATTATTATGCTATTATGTAAATTGATAGAGATTTTAATAATAAATTATCTTTTGTTTTCTGTCTGTCACACTAATAATCACAATAAACATCTGCAGAATTGTCATAAATATTTTTGTTTGAAACTTTAAATATTATTTACGTCTTGTTTCAAGGTCTTTTGAAACGGGTTACATAAACTTCATTTCAAGGGGACAAGCTAATTAAAACATTTATTCAAATTTTAAGTAATTATTAATTTTTTAAGATAAATTATACCACTAATTTACCAACTAATTTTTGAAAAATGTTTGACAGCATATTTCGCTTCTGGCTGTTATTGATATAGGCTATATAACAGAAGGACCAAAAAAAATAAGGACCAAAAAATTTTGGGTTTTTTTCTGGATGTATTGATGTTTCTATTTGGGAGCACGCTTTTGTTTACCCAATTTAAATCTTAATAACTTCTGTGCCTTTTGTCGAACATTTCTGAAATTTTGGCGGAAAGTTTGTGTATTAGGGGAATTGATGCCATTAAATTTTAGTGGTAGAAGTCGAGATAGAAGGGGTCTGTGTCATACTGTATTTCGAGAGGGGTCGGAGTTAATGAAAATTTTACTTATTATTTGCATTCACAAGTTTATGTATGTATATATAGGGGAGACCGGGGCAACTTCGGCATACGGGGCAAGTTTGTCAAGCGCTTTTTTTAAAAAACAAAGTAAAAGGAGACTTTGGTTATAGATTAGGCAGTTGAGTTTTATTGGTGGCTTGTTGAGTGTAGTGTTTTTATTGTTCTCCAACAAGCGTAGTTGAATTATCAAGCAAATTTTCATTTTCGTTCAATTCCATATAATATTTTTTTTCCATTTATATTGAATTGGCAGGTTTTGTTATAATTCCATGATAACGAAAGTTACTTTTCCTGTTAGAAGGATGTAACTTCAACTTATTCACGTGGCCAGATCGTGGCTTGGCATTCTGTTCTCAGGGTTGTACTTAATGTTTCGAAATCATGACTAGCGGGGTAAGATCGGCAACATAAAGCCACATTAGAAGCAAAGGATAAAAATCAAACAGATGATAAATGAAAACATGTTTGCATTTGTTATTCATGTATATATGTCTTTGAACTTGCATTTCGTTGTAATAATATTAAATGGGTGTTGGATTTGTATTTCTTTGTTTTAATAGTGAATTCCAACTTATACATTGTTAATAACATAATTTTATATACGTGCCTATCTTGCCCCATTACTGTTGCCCCTATACCAGGGGCAACTTTAATAAAAATAATTAAAATAATTACAACTTTACAAAAAGAGAGAAGTTGCCGATCTTGCCCCTATACCCGGGGCAACTTCGTCAATTTCTCTCTTCTTGTAAAGTTGTAATTATTTTAATTATTTTTATTTCCAAACTGATTTTAACCAGTTCTATAGTAAGAAAACATTCCAATAGACAATATGCAAAGATTTTTTTCAGTTTACAGCAGTATTTATTACACAAAATTAAGTAAAGCTTAACATGCCGATCTTGGCTCGGTCTCCCCTATATAAAATACTCGTCTTTTCTCCGAAAATTTTTGCATTTTGCATAATAATTAATTAGCCTATATAAAAAGATTTTAAATAAATTATCGTAACAGGTGACGCTACACGCAATTTTAAATGTTTTGGCAGAGGAGGTTACGTTTTCGTTGCTGGATTTTTTTTAAATTGTGTTATTTTCAATTTATGGACGCTTGAAATACTGGAATTTTCATTCGTATCTATTCATAAATATGAANCAATAAAAGGTCAAAGGTGAAGGTTATAGAGTATACTTAAGTAAATTAATGAATTTAAACAGAAAAATCATGCGTGTTTAATGGGAATTTATAAAGATAAAGTTTGACTAGTTACATTATATTTACCAATGTTTTGTGCAATAATAATTAATTTGAAATATTCATGAACCATACCACGTTCTTGAAAATTTTATTAATAAAACTTGAAAGAACCTGGTTGCTTGCTTGCTTTAACTTATTATTTATAGCTGAATTAAATTATTTATTCGAAAAATAAATTTTGTGGCGAGGAATATATTTAGAACTTATTAAATAATATTTCATTCCTTTATATTTTAAGCTCAAATAAATGCTCAAGGTGAACAATGCACAACGAGTGATGGAAGACCAGGATTGTGTGTGGTACTGAAATTTTGTCGAGAAGCAATTGCTAGTTTTCCACATCAATTACCAACTGTATGCTACCAGAAAGGATCTATTCCATTTGCATGCTGTGCTTTTCCTGACATTCAAGAAAATGATCAAACGCTCATTTATAGCTCAACTACTCACGGCAGACCTGGCTCAGATAGTAGATATTTGCCAGTACCTGAAGCCAGACCTGTTAGACCTTCGACTGTAACTAGTGATTACAGAACATCTAGAACGAATACACGCTTCAGAACTACAGAAACACCCACCAGGAATAGAGATCAAACTGAAGATAATGATAGATTTAAACCTTCTACAACTTTTCGAGTGACAGAAGAACCTTTTATCGAATCCTCCAGGAGTAGTAATCGTTACCCAATTAGGCAGAGTGATGCAAGTACAGACTCGTATTCAACCACAGTGTTTCAACAAACTAGGACAGATTATAATAATAAACCAACTAGAACGACTCGATATCGTGACGATGCTTCAACGACAGTAAGCAGACAAACTCCGAGGCAAAGCAGAGTGGACAAGAGTTATAGAACTGAACAATCGGAGTATACAAGGAGTAGTAAGAATACAGAAGATTATTTCTCCGGAAACAAGCGAGAACAAAGTCAGAACACAAGAAACATTCAAAATATACGGCCTTCTCGAACGATTCGTGATGATGATTATAATATAAACTTTACACCAACTACGTCCACTAGGAATTACCCAACTGTAGAAACTCACGTTGTAACTAGAGAAATCACTACTAAGTATTACGCGACGAAACCAAGAACAACACAGAATGATTTTGCAAATACTAATTTAAGGCCTTCGAGGACTACAATAGTTGATCATCCAATAGTGGAACCATCTGTTGAAATCTACAAGACTTTCATAACGAATTTTACAGTAAGAAATTCTGATTCAAACACGCGATTAAATCAGCCATCCAGAGTAGTTCCTCACGTAGAAATATCCAAAACGGAAATCAGATACTTTAATACGCCCACCAGAACTCAAATTTCAGAACCTCAAATAACAGAACAAGGTAAATTTACTGGTGTAAAAAATGATACTTATGATTTTTCAACATTATTAATTAATGTTCATTTTTTTAGAATGTGGAGAACCAGTTTTAAATATGTTTATTTCGGGAGGATATGAATCCAGACCGGGGGATCGACCTTGGATGGTAT